GGAAAATATATTGCCTTTTTCTAGGTGAAGCAACCAAACTAACTTTAAATTCTAAACTACAGTCTAACTGCCATAGTAGTCAGTAGCATTGGAGATGAAAGTTCATTTCCTGAGTAAAATGTGGAATAATAATCCACAGAAGCAAGGCTCTGTGTTTGAGGGTGGTAAAAAAAATATATATATATTGATTGAGCCTTAAGAATCTCATCTTCAGAACAGAAAGGGGAAGGGGGAAGTGGCTAAGAATAATACTTGTAAAGATACCAGAAAGAAGAGAGTATGTCATAAGATAGTGAGGGGAAGCTTGAGATTTCCTGCTTCTAAAAACCCCTAGTTCAACCACTTAAAAAGCTGTATGACATGAGGCAAATTTAGCTTCTCTGAACCTCAGTTATCTCATTTGTAAAATAGAAATAATCGTGTCTCCTGCATAGAGTTGTTAGGAAGCCTGATGGCATAATATATGTGAACTACCTGAAACTATGATTCCTGCCTGTTACTTTGCCCTCATGAATGTTAATTCTTCTTATTCTTATATATTTTTTTTTTCTTTGTTAGTTTCTCACACAGGAATATAGTTGAATTTACAAATATTCCAAAGTTCTCTGCAGAATTTTAGGCATTATTTTCTTGTGAAAGAAATGAGATATATATCTTTTATCTGTCTATAGATATAAAGAGAGATCTATCTATCTATATAAATTTAGGAGCTCTGGTGGCATAGTGCCTATGGCATTTAACTGCTAACCAGAAGGTTGACAGTTCAACCCACCAGCCAGTCCACAGAAGGAAGACTGGGCAATCTACTTCTGTAATGATTTGCTGCCTCAGAAACCCAAAAGGGGTCACTATGAGTCAGAATCCTCTTGATGGCAGTAAGTTTGGTTTGGTTTAGTTTTATATATGAATTTATTTTATATTTGTTGTTCGGAATATACACAGCAGATATATATACCAGTTCATCACATCTCTCCCACAAAGCAGCTGGTGGGTTTGAACCACTAACCTTTTGGTTAGCAGCTGATCACTTAACTACTACACCCCCAGGGCTTCTTGATCCCCTATCGATAGATCTTAAAGAGCACAGTGCTCAAGGAAGACATTCTTTACTAGTTAAGCTAAAATATTGTTTGGTTTTAAGAAGAATTCAGGTGATATTTTTGGTTTAAGTTTTAAAGATTATCTCAGAGTAGTAGTTTCAAGGGTTCATCCAGCTTCCATGACTCCAGAAAGACTGGATTCCATGAGCATTTGAAATTTACATTTCTCCTCCTTTTGATTAGGATTTTTCTATAGAATATTTGATCAAAATGTTCGGTAATGGTAGCCAGATGCCATCCAGTTCTAGTCCCATGGCAAAGGAAGTAGTTGCTGGTGGAGGCAATTACCCATGCATTCCATCCCCTTCTTCATTATTCTCCTTTCTCTATTGATTGCTCCAGGTATTTGAATAGAGACCAATTGTAGCTTAGATGGCGACTTGCAAACTTTTTAAGACCCCAAGCACTATGCAACTAGGAGATAGAAGCACTATAAATACCTTATTAGGTCAGTTAACTGTGATATCCCATGAAACCATGACCATAAATCTCCATACCAGGGAACCAAATCCGTAAGGTCTTTGGGTATACCTAAGCAGCCTCAGCAGCTACTTAAAAAAAAAAAAAAAGAAATCACATCTTTTGCCAATTCAGCTTTTTACAGGTGTACAATTTACTGACAGCAATTACAGCAATCAGCTGTGCAACCCTACCTTTAATCAATGCAACTTTTCTGTCATCGTACACCAAAACTCAGTATTTCATAACCCCTGTCCCCTTCACTCTTCTGCCCCCACCCCTGCTAACCACTGATACACCTTGGTCTCTATACTTTTGCCTATTCTTATCTTTTTATACAAGTGAGGTTTTATAATAATTGTCCTTTTATGGTTGACTTACTTCATAATGTCATCAAGCTCCATCCATACTGTAGCATGTATCAAGACTATTTCTCTTACTGTCTGAGTAGTATTCCATTGTATGTGTGTACTAGAGTTATCCATTTATTCATTAATAGGCATTTAGGTTGTTTCCACCTTTCGGTTACTGTGAATAGTACTACAGTGACTATTGGTATACAAGTATCTGCTTTCAAGCATGTCTTTTGGGTGTATACCTAAGAGTAGAATTGCTGTGTTGTATAGTAAGACATTAAGCTTCTTTTCATGTATTTGGTGGCCATTTGGATGTCTTCTGAGTCCTTTGTCCATTTTATGATTAGGTTGTCTTTTGGTTATTTAATTGTTGAGTTTTGGTTATTAGTCTTACTGGATATATGGGTCCCAAGATATTCTCCTAGTCAGTAGCCTTGTCTTTTCACTTCTTTGAATGAAATGCTATTTTGAAGCCCTGTTAGGAAAACTTGTTCTGTAAGATATGTGCCCCTAGAGGTGAGTTGTATGGCACATGGGGAGGGAAAAAGTGAGGAATGGGTGCTGCTTAAGAGCTATAGGCATAGTGTAAATTATATTCTCCCTCTTTTTGCCACTAACTGAATTTTTACTTGCTACCTCCTCCGTCACACACACATGGATACAACAGCTGTCCTAGTTTTGACATCCAGCCACAGTCAAAAGTATTTTTTTATTCTAAAAAGTTAAACATGTATGAATTGCTAAAGCTAAACAGAGTGAATTCCTTTGAATATACTTAAGAAATTTGTCTTAAAGTTCATATTTTGTTAATTAACATTTTTTAATGTTTTCAATTATTCCATCCCCCACCCCAATTTAATTTACATGGGTTCTGATAATGATATTTTAATCTAGTAACTTACTGCTAAAGGGGCAGGGAGGCCGCAACTTCTGACCTCCTCTAACCCCATAAGAGGAAGACAGAATCACCATCACTAGCCCAAGGCCTATTCCTGCAAGGCCAGACATGCCACCTCCCTCCAGCCCTGACACCAACCATTCCTCCTGCAGCACCCACCACCTCTCTGCTTGGTTCAATAATTCGCTGCAGTGGCCACACAGAACTCACGGATTACGGGGTTTATTAGGGAAGCACCAGGTTACAACTCAAGTTCAGGAAGAATGCTCAGTCTCTCTCCCAGCCCACCGTCCCTCAGCCAACAGTCTCTCACAGTCTCTTTCCCAGCAGTGCTGGTCCCTCGGTGTCTCACTCAGCAAT